TTATCGAGACGCCCATGCGTGGAAGATTGCAAGCATTGTGCCAAGAAGGAAACTGCTTTTCTTAAGGTGATAAGGACTGATACTGTTGACGAGGCATGGGGAGATGATGCGATGAAATTAGAACAGGAAAGAGATGCAGATATTAAACCAATACTGGAGTGGCTACGAAGTGGCAACAAGCCAAGTTGGAGTGACGTCGCCCAATATAGCGCGGTAACGAAAGGTTTATGGGCACAGTGGAAAAGCCTTACGCTGCATAATGGACTCCTGTGTAGGAAATGGGAATCAACAAACGGCAAGGACGAGCATTTGCAATTGGTGGTGCCTCGTTCAAAAATAAGGGATGTATTATAAGCGTTCCATGATGGATCTTCTGGAGGACATTTGGGAATTAGGAGGACTTTGGTGAAGATCAAGGAGAGGTTTTATTGGTTGCATTGCAAATATGACGTCGAAGATTGGTGCCGGAAATGCACTAGTTGTGCAGCTGTCAAGGGTCCACAAACAAGGAGCAGGGGGGCGATGAAAATCTACAATGTTGGTATGCCTTGGGAGAGAATAGCCTTAGACATCGCTGGACCATTTCCAATCACTGATTCGGGCAATCGCTACGTTTTAGTGGTTATGGATTATTTTACAAAATGGCCGGAGGTCTTTGCCATACCGAATCAAGAGGCAGTAACTGTAGCCACGAAGTTGGTAAACGAGGTATTCACCCGATTCGGAGTGCCCCTGGAGATGCACAGTGATCAAGGACGGAACTTTGAGTCCCAAGTTTTTCAGGAAACTTGTAAACTTTTGGGAATCCATAAGACTCGAACGACTCCATATCATCCACAGTCAGATGGAATGGTCGAACGTTTCAACCAAACATTGGAACGACACTTAGCAAAGGTGGTTGACAGCCATCAGAGAGATTGGGACACTTACATACCTCTCTTCTTGCTTGCCTATCGGACTGCTGTACATGAAAGTACCGCAAAGACGCCTGCATTTGCAAATTTTGGAAGGGAATTGAGATTACCGGCAGATCTTGTATCGGGCTGTCCACCTGGCGACACTCGCACCGAGTTTGGCGATTACATAAGCGAGTTAAGGGCAAAAATGTTGGACATTTATGAGCAGATCAGGGAGGCCGGTCTTCAAGCTAGTGATCGCGCAAAGACGCGCTATGATCGACGAGCCAATTCTGTTGGGTTTGAAGAAGGGTCATTGGTCTTCATAATCCAGTCAGAAGGAAGGGAAAATCTCCGAAGCTGCAACCGAGTTGGGAAGGTCCTTATGAGATAGTCACGAAGATCAATGACATTACTTACAGAATTCGGAAGACTTTAAGGAGCCCTTTGAAAGTTGTCCATATAGACAGGTTGGCGAGGTATTACGGCAGCAACGATGCTCGGGACGAGCAAATCTAAGAGGAGGGCAGTGTGACGGAAAAGTGGTTCAAACTCTTTGACATCATGACGTCAATGGATGGTTGTCAAACGTTGCCTAGAGATTGTAAATTTCGTCGTGAATTGTCAACACGAGTTGGCCTAATCGGTAAGGCGTGTGGGTTACACCACAGAGACCCCGAGTTCGAGTCCCGCCGTAAACATGAAGTTTTTTAGTTGATAGAAGTTTTGTCGAACTTTCTGGAATTATTTGTGTGAAAGAAGTGAAAAATTAAAGAGCGAGAAGGAGAATAAATAAAAATGAATAACGAAATTATTGGAAGGTTCTGGAGGCATGACGATCAAAAAGAATAACGAAATTGAATGTTCCAGAACCTGACCGGGGGTATATAAGCGGAACTGCGGCTCACCGCTGGCAGTTGAGTTCTAAGTCTAAAGCGATTCGGAAGAAAAGGAAGAAGTGAAAAAGAAGAAAAGTGAGTGAAATAGTGAAGTGCAGTGAAATAGTGAAGTGCAGTCAGTTAAGTGAGTTAAGTCAGCGTTAACGGCAAAGTTGTGTCAGTCGGCCGGACTCTGCTGGAGAGGAACGCCGATAACTTAACTCCGTGGACGCTGTAACTTAAGTGCAATAGAAAGTCTGAAAACCGGTATTAGTGTTTCATTTCATCCAATCCCGTAACCCAAGCCCGCATAGTCAGGAACGTGACGTCAGGCACGTAACAATATAATAAAACATAGTTTTAATGAAATATTCATAATACTTACCTATTAATTAGATCCGTACCATTCTGTCTATGCACGGACGGTTAGCGGAGACTTAGTAAGTAATAGGGTATTTACCATAAAAATGAGACGATTAATAACAAATTTTAAGTAAACTTTGATTTTGTTCTATTGCTATATGATGCTTTTCGCAGGCGGAAAGCTAGTAATATATATAAACCTTCCTCTTCAATCACTCTATTTATTAGAAAAACTGAATCAAAATCTTTTGCGCAGTTGTTTTAAAGATTTAAGCATACATAGGGTTATAGGGACAGAGTAAGCGACTTTGGTCTATACTTTGCAGAGATTTTGATAAGCAGTTTTTATTTGGTGTACCATTGGGTTCCGTGGCTAAATAAAATACACAACAAAACACTTAAAAGACACATCCACATAGACAAAAGACCTTCCCAGTTATAAATTGTGATATTTTGTTACTTGATTTAGGGCTGGTTATTCAATAGTTAGATAAAAGTTACCTGGGGAATAATTATGATGCTGTCGCGTCAAAATGTTTTTATAAGACAGTGACAGCAACAATTTTATTCCTCCGATAAAATTTATCTGACTATTGAAAAATCGGCTCTAAGAACGATCACGACGATTATAATGTTTTTGTTTCTTTCTTTATGAATTATTTCTAATTTAAAAGACATATAATATGTACTTAATACTAGTAACTACAATCAAATAATCTGATAATTTTATTTATAATCACAAAAACACATTTGACCTTGGATTAATTTGCAATATAAATCTTTAAAATGGTTGACAGATTAATTTATTATAACAAATTGTAATATATTATAATTATATATTGAAATATATAATTATAATTTATACAAAGTTTTATAAGCTGACTGCCTCGATACGTAATGGTCTAGCGGAAGCAAATATAGGACTTTTGATGTGGCAAACGAACATATGGATTACCTGATGGTAAGCAATCAGCGCCGCTTATAGACACCCGCAACAGGAGTAATGAGTGCGTTGCCGACCTTTTTGGGTTTATGGATTTGGAGGTTTAGGGATTTGGGGGGAAGGATTGACCCTCCTGTAACCTTACTCACACGACGAAACACAACACTGTGGTTATTTCACGCCAGTTTTCTGTAAGGCCGTGGTATCACTCCGGTCGAGCCGACCCATTCGTGCCGTAGCATGGCTCTCCCACACTAAAAATGAGAGATTTATTATCATTTCGTGAATTAGGTAAAGCTTCTTGTAATAGCTAGGCAAAATCCTTTTTCTCCTTTAATCAGTAAACCTCCAAAATCCATATTCCTCAAAAGGTCAGCGGTTGCCTAGACGTGGTCTCCACTCTATATGTAGAACACGTCTACTCTACCGAACTTGACCTTCGTAGATTCAAATGTGTGATGATTATTCGTTATTACATTCGAATGTACACATGTACAACACTATCATTTACTATACAACCCGTTACGCAATTTAGTATTTAAGTCATTATATGTTTTAAGTTGTTATTAGCTTATCATGTCATATTTTGCTTGTGTATGTGAAACATAATGAGATATGTTGTAATTTGTATCATTTTGTAATGATGTGATAAATGTTTTTTTTTACATCTAGCGGAGATTCGCGTCCAGTTTCATTATCAGAATCATTATAAGGAGTGGTATCCGTTGTTCAAGTCTGTGTTCGCCGAAGGGTAAAACCTAGGTGTCGCCAAGGTCATTAAATAGGTTGCTAATGGGTAGGCGTGCTCCATCGTAGGCCGCATCATCGTTTACCACCAAGCGTGATAATGGCCAAATGCTTGGCCATTACAATACCGTCAACATATCTTGGCGAGTCTGAAGTTAGCCGATTAGCTGCGCAGTACACAATTTTGTTCCTAAAAGATGCATTGAGCAGACAAACAGCTAACTTCAGACTCACCAAGATACGGCGCCCGTACTGTACTAAATTCAAAAAAAGAACAGTGTATAGTCAGAAAAATCTATTAAATCAGATGACCACTGTTTTTTTTTTAAATACTATACAGTATTTGAAATGGTACTCATTCTAAAATTACAGGAAAAAAAGAATTAATAGGAATTAATATTTGAATTAATTATATATTTGTATTATTACCTATACATACTTTTAGTACAGTTAAAACAACGAAGTACAATAAAATATTTATGTAAAATTAGAATTCAATTTTTCTCTAATTTGAAACAATTATCGAAGACAAAAAATGTTTTATTCAAATCTTTTTATCATTTTCTTCTTAATTAGATAATACAATGGATCTTTTGAACTCTCTTATCGGCTCTTTTATACAGAAATCAGCAACCATACATAAATAAAGAAACATGGAGGACATCAATAGCACTGTACACTTTTTTGTACATAAACATCTTATTTACTTTTTACGAAATACATTTATTAAAGAGCATCATTTAAGAACACTTGCAAATTTACACCTGTAATAGCTATGCATTTACTTGTGATAAAATCATGTTTGTCATCGTCAACAGTTTATTAAAACAAACCACACACTTACTAACTATAAACACAAACTCTTCAGCCTTATATTATTAGATAGGCATAGGCCGCAATACGGTTTTTTCCGAAACTGCACTAGACGCATTGACCTGATTTAAAAAGAGTAACCATGGAGTTTCTTGCTCATTCTTTTCCTTTGGAATCTACACTTTGTAACAAGCCAATAGCTTCACTAAGAAACAAACGATAGACTGACTTTTTATCTCTAAGCTTTGTTTGACATTCAAAAGTGCCTGTTAGTGTCTAATGAAGTAAATTATTTTGTCTTTGACTTAGACCATGTTTAAAATCCACAAAATCACTCGTATAGTTAATAAAAAATTACTACCTGAGTTCTCGACTACTACACCAAGTTAACGAATTACAATATTATTCAAATATTAACGTTTCGTGGTTTAAAATCAGTCCCAAAAATCGCAAGCCAAAAACTTATTTATTTGCCATGTTTCATAAACTAATACGGTTGAAAATGGCTGCGCTGTGACCGTAGTGTGGCCTTGCCTATCTTGCTGTAGTTAAACGAACCAATCACGTTCGTACAAATCTTCTTTGTTCCCATCCTTCGCGTTCAGTCATTTTTAAAGCGATGCAATTAGTCAAAGGTTGCGTCAAAAAGGTCTTAGGGTCGAATACAAGTTCCTCTTCCATACCTTCAGCCAATTCCACTTTATATTTCTTCAGGAACGTGATGAGGCCAGACATCACTTGCATCTTTGCGAAACGCATTCCTGTAACAAGAGATTTTTTTATTTTAATTCAATCTATTACTAACCATATGATAAAGATAGATTAATATGTAATGTAAGTGTTTCAAATATTTTATTGAAGTAAGGCACAATAGAAAGTCTATCGACACGTTAATTCGGCCATTGCATTAGGTATTGTGTTTTGCAAAACTCTTTTGTGTAATGATTTCGTTAGCGAATAATTCTGTTTCGATTGGATATTTTTACTGTCTTTCCTTTTAGTGCTGCGTGACTATTTAACATGAGTTAAGAAAGAAGGTATCAATTACTTATAATATATAAAGATCTCGTGTCACAATGTTTTTAAATTAACCCCTTCAAAACAGCTTTACTTATTTTTAACAAATTTTTTATGCATATTTAGTAGGTCTGAGAATCTGCTACCGGCTATTTTTTGTACCTACCTACGTACGTACGTCGAGTAAGCTAGTAGAATATAACTAAATTCACAATCAATTACTAAGATTTTTACTTCACGAAATGTTCTAAATGTACCTTGAGCTAATCACATCAAAAATCACGTCTATAAGAATACACAAGCCAAAAGATAGTATCTCTAACATTCCATTGTAGATCCACAGCACGTCTTTGTGCATATGAATAATTTATTTTCATGAGCAATGCTAACATTTTTCATATTACAAAATAAGGTGAAGGTCGTGTATATTACTAACTAATATAACCTTTTTTTGAGAGGCAAACCTTCATAAAACAGCTTTTCCCGCCCTGGATGGGGCAAAAGAGCGTGTCAGACTCTTGCAGTCTGAAGTAAGCCGTTTGTCTGCGCAATGGATGTTTTAGGAACAAAATTGTGTACTGCGCAGCTAATCGGCTTACTTCAGACTCGCCAAGATACGTCGGCTGCACTGTACTAACTATAAACAACTGCATTCCTTCTCCTGATCCGAGCTGAGCCGCGGCACGTTACTGCGTTAGCAACCGTAACCGAGGCCAACCACACACCGTGACCACCTTATAAGAAAGGAGTTGCAGACTCTACTCAAGGCACAAAGAGATCATCCTAACAAAGCATGTCATGCACCTACTAATTACAATGAAACAATTGAATATATAAAGGATATAACGGAACTCTTACACTTCCTTTCACAATTATAGAACTAGACAACAACAATAATAATTGAAATTACATACCTATACATAGTCTAGGTCCAGATCCAAATGGGAAGAACGTGTTAGGGTTGACTTGCTCCTTGTTTTCGGGCAAGAATCGCTCCGGCTTGTACTTGTGAGGTTCAGGGAAGAATTCGGGATTATTGTGCATGTGATACACTGGGACATGGATACGGACACCTACGTCCAGCTTTAAGCCTGTAGGAAGGACGTAGTCGTCCATCACCTCACGGGTTAAGTTCCCTAGCACTGGGTACTTCCGTAGGGTCTCGTACATACAGGCCTCTAAGTAAGGCAGCTCCGTCACACAATCGTACACCAGCTTATTCTTGTGTCGACGCATGAACTCGTCGACTTCCTCGGCAGCTTTTTTCTGCACCTCTGGGTGTTTCGCCAGCTCATACAGAGTAAAGCTCATGGTCGTCGCCGACGTCTCGAAACCAGCTGAGAAGAACAGAATGCACTGCGCAACCAGCAGCTCATCATCCACTTTCAGTTGCACCTTTTTCTCATTCCCTGTCTTTACGTTGCTTATACTGTCTCCAGTTATGTGATCTTCTTTCTTCAGATTTAGGAGCAGGTCCACAAAATCATTTCTTGGTGATGGCTTGTAATCTCGACTTTCAAAAACACCAGTTAGTAACTTGAAGAAGAATCTGTCAATGGTTGAAGGGAATATTTTGAGTCCAATGCGGTAGAATATTGAAGGCCACACAGCTCTAAAAATAATTTTGAAGCCCCGATATCTTGATGACTCGAATATTTCGTCAGCCATTAGTTGGAAGGGGTTGTTTTCTTTTTGTGTCATTGTGTTGGACTCTACTCCGAAGGCACAGGAACATATACAGTCCATGGTGTACTTTGAAGCTGTCTTTCTCACTTCAACGACATTAGACATCTTAATTTCGTCGTCCAACATATCTTCAAAACCGATGGTACACTTTTCAATTAAATAAAACATGTTCTTCATCTTTAAAGAAGAGAAGAGAGGAGTCAGATTTTGTCGGACTACTTTCCAGTTGTCACCAGCGCTGAAGAACAAATTCTGGGTGATGATCTCTCCATTGGAATAATTGGACGATTCCCTGCCGTTGGCGTAGTAGAAGTCCTTTGTTAACACATGCTTGATGATCTCAGGGTCTTTCACTATTAGGACAGGCTCCGTTCCGTAGTAAGCTCCAAAGTAGGGTTCATTTTTAAACTTCAGACACAATTTCTGGATCATTTGCCCGGGGTATTCTTTTTGCAAAATATAGTTTCCATAGTTGCCCAATATAGGCAACGGATCGGCGTGCGGTACATTCTTTTTCTTCCAGTAGCCGAGTTTTTTTCTCGACAGATAATATATTAAAGAAAATATTACAAATACTAAAGACGCGAGAACGATAAGGCCGTTCATGTCGGCTACGCTGTTGTTAGCAACTGCCGGCGCCTCAGTTCTGCGGTTGATAAAAATGTAAAGGAGACTCCACCCACTTAATATTTTTGCAACTGGATTAACAACAGACATGTTTCATGACAGTGCGTCGTACGCATGTACGATTTTGTCCACCAAAAATACTTAAAATTAATGCGGATGTGGAAAATTACCACTCACACAATGTTATTCAAATACAAAACCTGTACTTTACCTGTCGGCTAAAAATATAAATTATAATTTTGAATTTATTTTTAACACGCATTGTTTTAAACATGAAATAAATTAGGTAAGACAGTTTTATTCGAAGAAAAAAGGTGCAGTATAATAATGACCATGAAAATATTAGACTTGATGTGTTCGGCCGCAGGAAAGGCTTAGATGTAGGTATGTGTAACTCCATTCTGGCATTTCCATTGTCCGATAAGGCTAAGCTTTTATATAATTTAGTTGTAAGATAATTAGTTTTCCATGTGATTTTGTTATCTGGCGATATGGTCGCAAAGCGACAAAGCCTTTCTATAAATAAAAAAAATAAAAATAATAATGGCCATAAGATTTGTTTAATAATTTTACATGTACTTATTTTTAGATAAAAATATGTAATAATCACTGAAAAGGTTTATTACAATAAATATGTTATTGCGTACATAATATGTCAATGATAATCAGCGCAGCATTTTTAAGATAAACAAATAAAATTTATTTATTATTGTAAAGGGTTTATTTGTCCGGTGTCGTCACGCGTTCGTGAAGGAAAGCCAGGTCAATGTTGTGAACGTATATTTGGTAAAATAAAATAGGCGCAGTCCCACACAACCCTTTCCGCTTGGACGAAGGTGGCGGATGCAGTCCTCTAGTCCAAAAAATATACAATTATTGAGATAAAAGTATAATATAGTGTCCGTGACTTGCTATGCAGAAGAGTCTCAAGTGACTATTCCAAGTAGGACGTAGCCCGAGAGTGCACCGTGATAGTAGTATTCACTCAAAACACAACAGCTAGTATTAAATTGTGGAGTTATACAATGTAAACGATGAAGTTCACTATTGAAATAGGTTTTACATTATATTATAAATAGTTGTGTTACATTATTTAAATTATATTATTTATTTATCATGATTCCTCTAAGATTCCTCTCTGTCTATGAAAAAAAAAATATTAATAAAAATAGAAATCTATATGTATCTTAAATAACTTTTAGAGCAGGAAGTGATCCTTATCTGATCAGAGCGGAATATCGCTCAAGCCTGAAAAAGAAAGATTAAAAATAACCATAAATATTACTTGAACTACGTGAGGAAAAGTAACTAAAACTTAAATTGAAAGAAAATAAGACATATAGAATAAAATATATTTTTAATATCTTAGTACGTACTGAATGCAAACACGTGACTTCTAACGATAACTGAGTATATTTACTATCAGTAAACGTGATTTGACATTCACATTATACCTATATATTGATCTAGGGTCAATCTTACATGTAATTTTACTTTCAATCGGTTTGGATGTAATTATTAACATCTGACATGACAGCTGGCGGTAAGCGCCATAATATACCTATTTCTTGGAGTAGGTTTAGGAGAAGAAACGCGTTGGATAAGAGTCTGACACTCCCTATCGATCGTAGTGGCCTGGAGTTTAGGGCCCCCATTTCTCATGTTTTTTTTTGTGAGGGGAAAATCATCAAATTATATCTCCCGCACAGGGCGGGAGGGAGTGTCAGACTCTTACTGACTAAAAACCCCCCTGTTCCTTCTCCTGCTCTGGGTCGAGGTCGCGGTGCCTCATTGCGCTTACTCCGCAACCCCGGCTGATCATCAGCCCTATAGGGCCCCGTCTGTGGTTTTCTATTGGCTCTTTGAGGCGCGCGCGGAACGTTACGCGCCGTACGCTCGGGATTTCTCATGCATGGGATTCAAAACTTGGCAAGTACCAATGTAATTTTTCTGAGTTATATGTACTTCCTGTGTACTATAATTTAGACACCACATATGGTAAAGGAAAACATCGTGAGTAATCCTGGAATTATAATTTCTTATTATAATTTTGAAATCGACAACCCGCTTTGAGCAAGCGTGGTGATTAAAGCTCATGCCTTCTCCGTGTGAGAAGAGGCCTTTGCTCAGCAGTGGGCACTTTTAGGCTGATGATATGAATGTGACTCCGTCTCGCTCTGAAAAGGGCGATTTTCCCTCCTTAAAAAAGCACCGTAAAAATTTTGTTATGTAACCGATTATTATCGAAGTTAACTATAATATCCACTTATCCGATATCTGCCGTACATGTGTGCTGGCCGTCAAATGACTTTAATCTATCTTATCTAACCGTCTATTGACAAAATAAAATCCACTGACAATGATTTATTACGATTTGAATCGATTTTTGATATCATTAATAAGCATACCTACACATGTACTCACAATTGATTCTTATCCTTCGTTAAGTTGATTTTTAATTATTCTTCCAACAAAGATAGGCTCTTTCTATTTACTCCGTTGATGGAATGCTATTAACTGATTTTCCTTTTTTTTATAATACCATTCTCGTGACTATTACAGTCATAGCATATAGTAACCGTTTTTCAAAATAAGTTTCACTATCTAAGGATTTATTAACGAAACATTGATAAAAATACAGTGACGCACCTGACTTGACAAAAAAAATTCACGTAGGTGAATGCCTACAAAAAAAAAAACAAATTGATATAGAACCTTACGTCATTAGATTTTTAAATTCAATTCTATTTATGTAATACGAGTACATATGTATTATGTTTAAAAAAATGTCCTTCCATTCTACCCAATATTTGAATTGCGAATGTGCGTTTGTATGTTGGCTTTTAATGCCAAAACTAATGAACCGGTTTTGATGGAGTCCAAACATTAAGATATTGTCTGTTACACGTGAATTTGCGAAATAAGGTTTCGTGAATGTCGTTAAAATATAATTCACATAATTAAGCATGTGTCATAAGGATTTATTAGTTACATACGTAAAAGGCAAGTCGGCGACATATGACATCTCAAAGAAGACATCAAAGAGATTAACGAGCTTTATAATGTTGCGGATGAGCAGCGCTGATTGCTTGTCATCAGGCGACCCATCTCCTCCATAACCTCCCTTTTTTGAGAGGAGTAAATCATCAAATGACTTCGCTGAGACTAAGGCGAGAAGGAATGTCAGACTCTTACTAGCTTAAACCCCTGTTCTTTCTCTTGCTCGAGGCTGAGGCCGCTAATGAGAATACTACAAGCAAATTACTTATATAAGTACACTCAAAAGAAAGGACGATGACGGATTTTTTGCTTGATGGAAAATTGCTACGTATCTGACGTATACGCTTATGCGACTCCCAATTACAACTCCTGCACTAGCCAGACCGTCGTTTTTGCCAACCACTGCAAGGCTATCAGATGGACAGCGACATAAATCACATTCAGGTGACTAGAACCTAACTTGAGCATACGGTGCGTGGGTTCTCGCGCGTCTCACGGAGCCATCAGGCCACCACAGGTGGGGAACTGGGGACCACTAGGGCCGATGTCCTGCCAAGGTTGTGGGTGCCCAATAATATCTATACCACAGCGCCATCTCGGAGCGGGAGAAGGAACGAGGTGGTTTTTAGTCAATAAGAGAACGGCAAGATCACTTCTTCTTGTCGTACCCTGGGTGAGAGAAGTCATTCGACGGCAAAGGAACAGAAGCCGATATTGGTTATTCAACAACATTTAATCATCTTTAATCGAGAGATCTTATCTGATATTATCTTATCTTTAATCGCATATGTTATCGATGGCCATAGAGCTAGACGAATTAGAATCAATGATTTTGACTTTGACTTGAAAAGATGAGAATGCAGTTACTATAATACTCGCCGTTCCTTGACGCCCTTGACAACAGAAAAGTTGTAAGTGTACTACTACCGGCCCTTTTGAGCGCTTATGGATTTGTGAAAAGGTTTTTTTTTATTTTTTTAAGGAGGTAAAATTATTAAATTTTCTTTCCCTAGACAGGAACCTTAGGAAATGCCAGACTCTTACTGTTTCTTCTGCTGTAGGCCAACACTATGATACAAGATGAGCGGCTAAAAATTTCTAGATAGAAGCTGAAAGGGAAGGATTGGAGCCCAGGTTCAATTAGCTCACACAGGGAAACACAACATAACACCCGGTTTCTGAAAGGCTTGTCAACGCTAAAATTAACGAATCTCCTGTTAAATCTCTTGTCAAGTCATCTGATTGGTTGTTGATAATTCAGTCAACCAATCAGATGACTTGACAAGAGATTAAATTGATTTTAAAATTGATCGGCCTTTCGCAAACCGGGTGCAAGTGTTGTCTCAAGCCGTTTTCCTGTGTAATTGCTGAGAGGACTTTCTGAAGGGGGCTTTAGAAGAAAATAAAAATATTTTAATGGAATATTCAAGCAGTTTTTTTTAAATATCAGTCGTGTTTATAAATCTGTGGAGTTCACAAATCGAAGTCAGGTTGAGTACTGCGGTCGAACCCTTATCACTTACAATTACGGACACAATGAAGATCAATGACCGAACGACTTAAAGTGACTCCGCTTTTAAAACCTCGCATCTCTCAAAGCATTAAGGAATGTTAAACCTGATACTTATTTAAATAAATGCTATTTTTCGAAAACCTTATAAAAAGTTATGACATTTTAATATTAGTTGATTTTAATAATCGATAAATCAAAACAAATATCTTAAATATCTTTTTAATATGTATGTTATGTGTATATATTTTTTTTATATTAAACATGTAATTTTGTGAGGACTGTTGTAGTTTATTTATTTATCCACCATGTATGTATGAATGTTTGTTACTATTCTAGCGATAACTGCTTAATGAATATATATGAAAATTTGTAAAGAAATATGTAATGTTCAGGGACTATAAGTGTCTTCCGCATATCGAGATCGAATTTTACAAGGTTCAGGTTTATTGAAGAACGCCGTTGTTTCTGACTTTTTGTAATATTTTGTTTATCATCATCACAGTTAGTTTATAACTCACTGATAAGCATCTTTTCACACGGTTTGATCCCCGCCGCATCTTTTCGCCATCGTTCCACGCGAAAACATTTTCATCCCCATCACATAGATGGTTGGCAGTCAACAACTGTGCGATTCACA